CTTGATTGTGGATCTACACAATATTTTGAGGAGTTTGAAGTTTTGTTGGGAGTTCCAGGGTCAAATTTTTGTTGTTGGTGATCGAAAAATTAAAATAACTCAACTGAAAAAGGATTTAAAAAGTAGTGTATCAACGTACGGTATGTGTTATTGAGACGGAAATTTCCTAGAAATTCTCTGAAACCCAAGTTTTAATTTCTTTCAAACATGACAAGCTGTACCGAAAACATCGAAATGAAATAGTTGGATTTGGGTTCAGCCCTTAACAGTGTGTTAGTATAAGATATGGATCTAAAAAAAACAAAAGCTTCCGTTCCGGTTTTGGATCCATATCAGTTCCGGTCCGGATCCCTATTAAGGAGATCTCGATGCCAGCATTTCGAACTTGTAGCAATTTAAATTTAGAGTTTGTAATCGATGTTAGTAAATATTTAAGAATTTAACTATTGTAAGTTTAAAATAATCTGTATGTACAAATGGAGACATATTGTGAAAAGCCACTCTTGAAAGCACGATTCGAATACGAGATACCAACTAAGACGAAGAAATAAAAAATTATTTAAATTTGATTTAGGGCTCATATGGCAATGTTCGCCTAAACCTTATTAAAAACAGTCAATTAATCCAAATACATTAAATAACTCTAATTGCTCATGAAGGCAGAATATGTCCCTAATAAAGACTGTGTCCCTTGGTTGTTACCTTTTAAAACACGCTTCCGACAATATAACCTAATGTGGTTTAATAAAGCTTAGTAATATCAGTGACAGCCAGGTCTAGACATTCGACTTACGCAACTATTGTACTTATGTAAATAGCCAAAAGAAAAGTTGCGTGAAAGTTGAATTCAATCATGGATTAATTCACTCATCAATCACACTCCTGAATATTCATACAATTAAAGAGAAAAATATTGTATTTATTGATTTATTAAATCTTATAGACAAATTAGGCGTAGTGGTTTTAACAGCAATCAAACTATGATAATGCTGCATGATATGTTTCATTTTTATTGTACAGGGTTATCCATTTTATGCTTAGGAAACTCAACACACAAAATATTCAGATGGATACGACAATGTTAATTCAATATTAAGATTTAACCTTGCCATACGTGAAAAACAATATCATTTAAATGTCCTCCACGGGATCTCCAACAGGCCTCCATCGTTTTTAGGTAATTTTGAATAACTTTTCGGCACATTACCGGTAATATATCGGTCATCATTTCCCGGATATTGTTTGAACAAGAGTTTGAGGATTGTTGGCGTAAACACGCTCTTTCGCATAGCTGCACAAAAAGAAATCTAACGGTGTTAAGTCGCAGGATCTTGCGGGCCATGACTCACTCAATCTCAAAATTACGCGTCCTGGAAATTTCTCTTGCAATAGGGCTCTAACTGCCAGTGTTGTGTCACTCGTTGCCCCATCCTGCTGGAACCACATGTCTTCCAGATCATAATCTTCCATTTCTTTCCAAAAATAATTGGTTAACATGCGTCCATAGAGCTCAGAATTGACTATTATGGCTCTTCCTTAATCGTTTTCAAAAAAATACGGGCCAATAACACCACAAGACCATAATGCACACCATACCGTCACTTTTTCAGGATGCAAGGCCTTTCTGCGATCACGTGAGGACTTTGAGAGCCCCATATACCGGTGTTCTGTTTATTCACGTAACCACCGAGCGAAAAATGAGCCTCATCGCTGAAGAAAATTGGGTTCAAAAAATCATCAACGGCTTATTGTTCAATCACCCAATTTGCGTATGTTCTGCGTTGCCCATGGTCTTGAGGCTTAAGTTGTTGAGTCAGTTGGACTTTGTACGGATGGAGCTTCAAATCCAATTGCAAAACTCGCCATAATGAGCCGTAAGACAAGCCCAAATGTTGAGCATGTCGGGGAATCGACGAATTCCGGTCTTCATCCAGGCTTTGAGCAACAACAGCGACATTTTCAGCTGATGGAATGCTGCGATAATGCACAGACCTTACAATATCCGCAACCGATCCAGTCTCTTCCACTGTGTTCGATATTGTTTGCTCTGTGGGTCGATTATGTCGACCGTAATCAGTATCACCATTTTTATAGTAACATTTAATAATTCTTACGCGTTCTTCGATTGTTAAACGATCGATATTCCAAAATGGCAAGCCTGGTAACTCAAAATAGGGTACATCGCGATATGGAAAATTGGTTTTTGAAAAAGAAAAGAAATTGCGTGACTCTGTTGAAATACATATTCGGGAACACTTAACGCATTAAGTATTAAAATTTGATTCAAGTGCAGTGATTTTTTACACGTTGCTCAGTATTGCAAAAAATCATCTTAAATTATTATGTCCAAGCTTAAGGAAACATAAAGATTAGATTTAAAGAAGCGAAAACACACCAGCCCTCAGCTAGAGACATAAAGTGTCTAGTTTACAAACCACGCTTAAAAAGACTCAGAAGTGAAATTTAAGAAATCACTGCAAATATCGAAGACTATTATTTTTTACTCCATCAAAACATCTTTACCTACGTGAATAGATGTTGAAATTAACCGTTCAATGTTAACATTTACTTCAGAATCTCCTCGAAAAAATGTGTGCTGTCACAAAACTATGAAACAATCTCTACAGCTATTAATAATTAATTAGTACATTAATTATACTTAAACATAAGTAGTAAATTAATATCATGTTCGATTATAGAAATCACGTCAGAGTGTATTAAGCGTGTGATGCTTGACATAACAAGTACACCTGCTCGGTATATCTTACTTTCGCCGAAAATATGTTCGAATAATTTATTGGTTCTGATATACCATCATCTACTTCATGGTTCGTTCAACTTACTCGATGTTTATTTTGTTCTTTAGCATTGATACGGTTTTGACGATTTTATTATGGCCTCCGTTCGGACGACAATAAACTTTCTTAGAAAGCATCGATGACAGGAAAACAGTTTTATAATATCGTCTTGTGCACACGATCGAAATACCACTAGAGTTGCTTAAATTATGTCATGTTCGTTATATTGTTAGAGAATGAAAGTCGTTGCGACATCGCTCTCATTGTTTAATTTATTTCGTTCCGATTTAACGTTGTCGACATATAAAGATGTTATATTGTTGTGGAGATAATGCAAAAAAAAATCGAGTTTCTGATACAATAAAGATGATTATTTTTGGGAACATTTGCTTGTAAATTTTGTTGTATTGTTTGGAAGCATGCGTGGCTCAGAGTTGTCCACATTTAAAGCGAGTTTGATCTTTGAGGGTCACACATACACTGAGGATACATACATTTACGTACTTTTTCAGGAGTAATCCAATTACGAGACACGAACATATTAAAAGTAGTAGTTAGAAATTTATTACACATTATTTTAAGGTAGCTCGATTGAGAGAATCGAGAATTGACAAAATATTGGTATATTTATACATACACGGTGATTCAAAATTGACATCATTCCTCTGGAGGTGTTGTTTGGCGGTCTTTTAGGAGTACAAAAAAAATAGTAAAAAAATTAATTGTTGTTAAAAACGGATAAATTTGCAAAAAAACTACATTAGAAACACGGCAACAATGTGTTTCAAGGTAATCTGTGTAATTAACATTCCGTAAATGCCTGTTGCTTCGTAATTATTTAAAACTCCAGTAACCATGGATAAATAGAAAAAGCGACAATAAGATAGACAAGGATAAACGGTAAATTCAACAGGAATCGTTGAATGGCGGAACCTATTTCGAAACTCATAACCTCGAATTATTAGTTTGTTTACAAATTACAAAAACATACATTTGAGTAAGTGCCTGTGTAATCACCTTATTATGCACTCTTCTCGACCAGCTTCTCTTATTCGAGTTCGTATTACATACGTGGTAGGAATGGAGCCCTTGCTCCGAATTTATTTGGTGCCTGGGAAAGTGTCAGTTGTTGTGCCATGTTCTGAGTGCCCCTGAAAGGCTCTTCTGCAATTATGTCCAATACTTGGTCCTCTGTGTCTGGAACCTGAACATGTATTGTCGTCCACTATCTTCCTGGTGCGAATCTTCAGTATCTCTAGCCCTTGGTTGGCGTTAGTTCTTTCAGCTATGTTACTGTAGCATTTCTCCTGAACTAATCGCATATCCGCAATGTCGTGAAAGGAAATTCAATGTAAGTCACAGTTTGACAAATTATTGTTATTATTGACAAGGGCTATCTACCTGTAACTATCTGTTAATGACAAAAAAACATCATTGCCGCTTTGACTTTTCCTCAAAAAATTGTAGAGAAGTTTTTGAATATCAAAAATTTCTTCATTTGAAGCAAAGATCGTAATTTTTCTTTTTGGATGCCTAAGTATTCCAATATGATTCCAATTAAACATGGAACATTTTCTAAATAATGCTTAATGACAAAGTTGAAATTAGATTTTCAACTGTTGATATCTTCTAGAAATTATCGAAAAAAAAAAGGTTTAAATATTTTTCTCGTACTTTCCAAGTGAGCCCTTATTACCCCTTAAAAGGAATGACGCCAATTTTGAATCACCCTGTATAAGTAAATCATTCATTGAACATGTACAGATGTACAACTGTTGACCAGAACCTTAATATTTAGTGGTATGAGTCGAACCAAAGATTTGGAGCAAAACTCCTCTGACGATGCAAACCACTCGCGCTTGCGAAACGTCAGGAAAAATAATTTCCTCAACAACCTACAAAGTTCAAGCTCTTTTCAAAGAGACCAAATGCGTTACCAATCAACCTCGTACAAAATAAATAAAAAGTAAAGAGTGTTGGTGAATTTCATCGCATCAGACCATATAAGTATTTAAGTATTTTATATCACAGGAGCATTGTGGTGCTTTTTCAAGCATGTGCTTCTGAATGTTACAGAGCTTGAAACAGAATGACGGCTTTAGAGCCAAAAAATTCTAAAGACTGTAGTCTTTCTTCAAATTTTGTATGTTGCAACAAACAAACATCCCTCATATTTTAACATCAGATCTTTTTCTATTTCAGCTGTCACTGTGCGGTATCTAACTAAGAGGTACATAGGCGAATACAGTTCAACTAGTGGTAAGTAAACCATTGAATTAAGCACTTTAAACGGTTCAATGTAGATCACTCTGTATATGTCCCATATTGCAATGAAGGCAATGCTTTAGCCACATTGTAATACATATACGGTATTCATCTTTAATAAAACTTCAGAAAATACTGGTGCATTATAAACACAAACATTACTGAAATACCGTATATATGAGGCACGAGTGTGAAATAGGTCGGAACGGAAGGTAAAACAAAGACAGTCCCGTTTAATCACGGACAGCTTCTAGGGTCAGCTTCCTACTATTTGCGACTCAGTATGAAAACGGTTAAAAGATACATTTATCTTGAACTGTTGACAACTCGAATAAAAGAGACGTAGTAGTAAAGATAAGAAGGTGGTGTACCTCTCTGCATGGCTGCTTGTTTGGGTTAGACCAGTCAGTAGGTAGTGGTGAACAAAAGTTGTTCTTAAAAATAGCATGCTTTTAGAAGAACGTGTCAACTACTGCTGTATCACTTATTAAAAACATACCCGTGGAATTTTATGGTGTTGATGAGTAATTCAATAATTGTTTATTACCTTGAGCTGATTTTTTTGAACAAAATTATTCCTTGTTCCCACAGTTTTTTCTCTGGTAAGTGAAGTGCTTTCCTTTACAAATCATTTTCGGTTTACAGCAATTAACACTATTCAGCAAGTTGAACTATGGTTTGAAAATTTGTGAGCAATAGATACGAAAACTATAATTAACAAATAAATCGTGATTTTATAAAAACCACTTGATCCTCCGCATTAACTAACTAAGTCCTCAGGTCCTGCCACAAAAACTTTCAGTAGGGTGAAATATTTAAGCAGAGTAAAAAATACATCAGAAAATAACTAAGAAGAAAAATTATCACACTAATTTGTTGATTCCGGAAAAATAGAGAAAATATGGCGTGTTGTAAAACTTTTCGCTGTTTCAGTTCGAGCATTTTCTCTTTTTCCCAGTTGACCGTTTAACACATCGGATATATCTGGATTACCAAATATTATCATATTTTGCCAAATATACAGAAAACGTTTTTAGTTACTTAAGTATTTTTAATTAGGATTATAATTATATCAAAACAATTTATTTCAAACTTTACGGAAATTAAAAAATAGTGTCTCATAGTGAGTCCCAAAAATTATAAGTTTTGTTCCGCGTAGATATAAAAGATGTAAAAATAGCATAATAGTTATGAAAGGAGGTAAACTTGGCTGCTTCTTGTAAACTATCTTATATTTCGCAGTTCAAGTTGGAGTTCAATCAGCAAAACTTCGGGGCGAAATTTTTCTTCCACGATAAAACAACCGAAAAATTCAGCAGAAAAATAGGTCCTATAAACAAAAATTACATACTCTTCCTTCCAAGAATCATGCTCCAAAAAGACGCCTCCAAAAATCGGTTTTTATTAAATAACTGTTAAATTGTTTGGCATAGTTTGATTAGGGTTTATACAAACATCCACATTTTAGAAAACCGGTTTTCGAATAGTATAGTTTTATAATATACTTGGAAACCGGTTTTAACCTTCAAGACTTTGTTTCTTTGTCACTAACTTTGCTTTCGATTTTACTTTGTCAATTAAAAAAAATCTTAGGCAAGAGCTTAATTACTCTGTAATTCTTGAATTATTAGCATTTTGCTACAGGGAACATTTATGAATGAATGAAGATATTTCTTTAAAAATAATCACACATCTTCGTAAAATCTTATTTTTGTCCTCTTCTTACCTGAAATCTTATATAGTCTTGATTAGACCGTGTTCAGACAGCAATAAAGTATCTTTTGGTTTGATTCTCACTTTACGTTTGCCGGTTTTGTTTTTTTTTTAATTTAACCGTTATTTTCGAGATGTTCTAGTGTCTCATATTTTCATTGTTTGATAATGTAATTTGTGTTTTCAAACACGAAAAACTATTTCTAAATGTTCATATTATTCAATTAGTTAGAGCTCGTAATTTAAAATCTCCTTGCAGTTCACAAATTTGTCTGTATAAACTTTTTAATGTAGAAAATGTTTAAACTGTCAAAAGCCTTATGATTTTGAATTAATCGCATCAAATAAGGTGTAGCTCTTTTCAGTTGTTAAACGAAATGTTTATTATGTTTAATTAATGTAGTAGAAAAAAATGTTGATGATAAGAGGATCAACTACAAAAAATTCACCACTTATGCGTTTACAACCGATTGGCGAAATGAATGAAATGAAATGAATAGAAACAAATGATCCTAATAGAGCTTTAAACAAATTAATCTTTAAAATAAATAATTGCATTGAAAAGTCAAGGAGTCACAATAAGAATCGTAACAAAGAACTCACACGAAGAAGTAACTGGATAACTAGTGCCATTAAGGTACCTTGTCGGAAGAAAGAAAGATTATACAGGGTGATTCAAAATTGGCGTCATTGCTCTGGAGGTGTTGTCTGGCGCTGTTATAGGAGTACAGAAAAAATAGTAAAATAAATTAATTGTTATTAAAAACTGAGAAATTTGCAAAAAACTATATCAGAAATACGGCAGCAATGTTTTCCCAGGTAATCTGCCTAATTAACATTGCGCAAATACCTGTTGCTTCGTAATTATTTAAAACTCCGTTAACCATGGAATTATACAGACTGACAAGAAGATAGACAAGGATAAACGGTAAATTCAACAAGATTTGGTGACGAAATGTCAACATGTTCTGATAACCTCGAATTCTGCGGGGTTTGGTGTTTACAAGTAATCCATACATTTGACCAAACATTTGAATGGTTCACTCCAAACAAGCTAGTGCCTGTGTAATTTCCTTATTATCCACTCTTCTCAAGCAGCTTCTTGTATTCAGTTAATTAACTCCTGCTCCATTTGTACCTCCTGTTGTGTGTATCGAACAAACGGGGTAGGAATGTATCCCTTCCTCGGTATTTATTTGGTGCTTGGGAAAGTGTCAGTTATTGTGCTGTGAGTGCCCCTGGAAGGCTCTGATTCTGTTGTGTCGTGCACCAAAAGAAACTACCCGTTTCAAAGGGCCGTCGACGGGTTCGTTAAATAAAACTGCCGAGATGTCTATACATAAAACTTTTTCCTGACAATGTCAAAATCTTACTGGTTTTCATTTTTAGGTTTTGTTGTATTCGATTCGCTCTCTTTTCTCTCTCTATTCATCCGTCTCATATACTCGCATCTCTGACATTCACCCACCTAAGAAACATTGCTGACAAAAATGTTTCTTAAAACTAAAAAAATAAGTTTGTAATGCTAAACAGAGCTAATATGTACTTCCCGTACATGAAACTAACTATAGAACAAACTCTATTCGAAATAACGACTTGAAATCTTACTAATACGTCCACATCGAGTCGTTTTTTCGACTTCAATACCGACATCTTCAATATCAGGTTCACGACTCTTCTGGGAAAGCTGCATCTGTGGGTTTTCGCCTTCATTTCACGAAGTCATAGGCGAATTCACTTCTATCTCAGTTTGAACACGAGGCTTAACAGCGTCCAACTGACTGAAAGTCTGTCAGGATCACGTCCACACTCCAATGAAAATAATCGTTGTAGTGGACGGAGTAAGCATCCTTTGATAGTCTCCACTTTGGCTAAACAAATCTGCCCATCCCTTCCTGGAAGAACTTCTACAACTCGTCCGATGGGCCATTCCATACGCTCTGTATTGTCGCTGTCGATGAGTAGTTCCCCAATGTCAACTTGGCGGGTCACTTTTCCTTTGCAAAATAGCTTCAACTGGCCCAAGTATTCTGAACGAAAACGTTTTCGCAGCATTTCACGTAAAGTCTGAAGCTTCCGGATCTTTCGGCTGAATGAGGATTTATCAATGACGTCACAATCAGGTAATCTGTCTTCTATATGTTCTCTTAAAAACATTAGAGGAGTCAGGGCAATCAAATCTTGAGGATCTTCTGACAAGTAAGTGAGAGGTCTTGAGTTGACCACTGACTCGCACTCACACATGAGCGTCGATAGCTCTTTACAGTTGAGGCTGGCTTGTCCCAACACTCGCCTTAATAGCTGTTTTAGAACACCTATTAGCCGCTCCCAAAATCCGCCCCACCAATCTGCAGTAGGAGGATTAAACTTCCAAGTAATACGCTGGATAGCGGTTTCCCGTGTAATCGTCTCCGAATCTAATGTCAAAGATGCGTTTGCGGCTTCTAGGAATTTCGTACCGTTGTCGCTGCAGATAGTATTTGCTCTACCTCGACGCGCCATAAATCGACGAAGTGCTTGGAGAAAACTAGGGGTGGACAGTGAAGTGGTAAGTTGCAAATGTACGGCTCGATACACGGCGCAAGTAAATAAACATATCCATGCCCCGACTCATCCATCATATCCATCCCGACATGATATGACTTAACATGGGATTCCATGATCATACTTTTCACTATAGCATGTTTGGATGGCAACACTACGGGAAAACGAAAGTCATCGCTATCTGACCTTGTTGATATTCTGGACTTGATACGTAGTTATCCTTTCTCATCATACGCAGGGGACAAACCAGTTAGTCTAGAGTCATTCGATCCAGTGAAACATTCCGCTTGCAATAGTCTCAGGATTTATACCTCTGCCGCGTTCTGCTCGTCCGCGTCGAGTTCACCAGACTTCTTTGTGTCGGGTCGTCTGCAATTGCAATTAAATCTCATGATCCACCCAAACATACGTACGGTTTTGGTGTACTTCGCAAAGTATTTAAAGTGCCAAATTTCGGTTTTCTCCAAATTGTTCAACGTAGTGACAAGTTTATTTTTCTTTTCCTCATTAATCTCTTCCTCGTTGGGAAGTTCAACTGCAGTTGGCCAGGTAGTTGGATCGGCGTAAAGCCATCGTGGTCCCTCCCACCATCTTAAGTCGAGTAACTGCTTCGGAGAACACCCACGGGATGGTAAGTCGGCTGGATTATACACTTCTGGCAAATGTCGCCAATCTTCCGCCGATGTCAACTTTCTTATCTCGTCTACGCGGTTCCACACAAACACTCCCCACTGCTC